AGGGAGGGACAGGAGATGCTGGGGATGGCTTGTGGGAGGCAATAGCATGCCTGGAGCCACAGGAGTAGAAAATTCCAGAAGAGCTGGAGTGTCCTCATGCTGGTCTCCAGGTAACACTCAGGGCCCCCCACCCCAAAGCTGCTTTTCTGGACCCTGTGTCCCTTGAACAGCAAGTAACCCACCTGCCATCCTCTCCGGGATTTGTCTATCATCCAGACGGAATCTCCCAGTGGCAGGACTCCTAGCTAGTGCCTGCCCTGTGAGAGACAAGGACCCCAGGGTCTCACAAGGTCCTCTCAGGACCAATTATGACCACACAGAGCAGCAGCGAAGAAGTGGCTGGGAAGTGAGGCTAGCACCCAGGCCGGCAGGGTCCAAATTGAACAGGTTAGTGAGAGGGAAGCCCTTGGTGTCAGCTACAGTGCCACGGAGCGGCTTTCCACTCCCACTCACGGGACCCACTGTGCTTCCCCAGCTGTCTGCATCCTCCCAGGTGGCTCAGTGAGTGGGTCTTAGAACCTTGGCCCTCCCTGCTGCCAGCTTTCCTTCCAGTGCCACAGCCAGGAAAGGGACAGGATGGAGGCCACAGGGACATGGGGGACTGGATTCTGTCTACCACCCCAGTGATCTGGCTGGAGCCTCATCTCAAACATGCACACACACAGAGAGACACACATCTGAGCACAGACCATGCTCACATGAAAGCCAATAATGCTCACACATGCCAAGGCCTCTCCAGCCCCATCTTGAGTAATAGTGCTCGTGGGGCCTGGCGCTCACAGGTTTGGGGCAGTGCAGAGCCACAGAACCCCCCATGGGGAAATGGGGGTGCTTTCTGGCACCAACCAGGAGCTCCTCTGCCTGGGAGGCCATAGGAGAAGGATAAGTAGAAGGAGTGAGCTACAGGCAGAAGGGCTGGAGACAAGCCTCACCTCAGTGCCTTCTGGGGGACTAAGAGACAGGTACCACTGGGAGAGGAGTGACACTCACCCAAAGGGTCCCAGGCCTCATCTCAGGAAGGTGCCACCCTGGGGTGAGCGTGTGCTGTCCAGGCACATGAGGGTGGAATAAGAAGCTCTGCAGGCCCAGCGGGTGCTCCCAGAGGAGGTGCTGCAGCCTGAGCCTTAATGTGGGGATGCCTGCTCACCCTGCCCTAGTGGCTCAGCCCAAGGAGCAGGACCCATCCTGCACCAGCAACAGCCCGGGTGTCCAAGGCTCAGCAAGGGTGGCAGCCTCCCCATACACCCTATACCCTGTCCTACCCACAGACCTGTTGGGGTGCAGGTGAGGGAGTCACCAGATGACCACAGTCATCTGGCAGATGGGCCCCTCAGGGCACAGGATCTGGGCAGCAAACACTGTAGAAGAGAGGACAGGAGCCTAGAGCCCCTCCCAGATGACCCTGGCGTTCCTCAAGACCTAGCTCAAATCCCACCTCCACTGTGAAACCCCCTCAACCTCACAGTTAGATTCACAGTTAGGACTGAGTTCCACACTGCCAGCCACCCACAATCTCCAGCCAACCTGCTCTGCCTTCTTATTAGCAGGTTGACTGAGTGATAGCTACTAACTCTGGGCAGCTGCTGTGCTAAGCAGGCAGCCTGATCTCTCAGCCCAAGCTGGCTGGCCCAGCAATGCCACCAGGGTGGTTGGGCTGGCCAGCCTAACCCAGGATATCTTGTGCAGAGACATCAGAGGCCTCGACAGGGACAACCACCCCACACGTCTCCTGGGGATCCACCGGGCTACCACAGGCAGGTAGCAGAGAGTGCCAGCCCACATCTGAGGCCCATCCTTCCCATCCTGTGGGAAGCTGCCACAATGCAGGAAAGGGCATGATGAGGGCTCCATGCCAGAGGTTTCTAGGTCTGCCTGACTATAATGGCAGGTGGGACAGAGAGGGTGGACAGCCTCTGAGCATTGCTAGCCTATAGAGGCCTGAGCCCCCCAGGGTATCCAGGGAGTGGGTAAGGCCAGGGCCCGTGTCCACAAATGTCCCTGTGCCCCCATCTCTGGCATGTGGTACCTGAGGAGTATAGTGACTGACTGTCTTGATGAATGTGCCTGTCAAGCTGGAGCTCTTCTGCCAGCTGATTGTCCAGGGCCATGAAGAGGCCTTAGAATTTGGCTGGGGGGCAGTGTGCTGGGACCTCAGCCAACCTCTGCAGTAGAGGCCAGAACCCACATTAGGGGTGTGGCCTGTAGCAGGGAATTACACAGCAAGTGAGGTTTTGAGCTCTACAAGTTTGGCAGAGAAAAGAAGAGAGAGGAGAAAATAGCAGAGAAAATCCCAGTGGTGCCGGGGAAGGCCTGGGCTTGTTACTCACAGTAAGACTGAGGCAGAGGCAGGAGGGAAGGTGGGATGTGGGCACCAGAGGGCCAGGATACGGAGGCTCCTGCACATCTCCCCTTCAACCCCTGGATGGAGCCTCAGAGGTTGAGCCAGCACACACCTGAACTAGAACACCTGAGCAAGCACACACTTGAGTCAGTGCACACCTGAGAGACAGTGCATACCTGAGACAGTGCACAACTAAGCCAGTACACACCTGAGCCAACAGTGGGCTTCCTCCCTCAGTGCTGAGGCTGAGGACCCCACCATAGACATTGCTCTATGGGCTTCACAGGGTCCGTCCGGGAGGCAGCCCAGCCCTGAGAGTGTGGAGCCCAAGTGGCAGAAACCATCACAAGGGGCAGCTGGAAGTATCCTCTGGAGACCCTCCAAATGTCTAGTCCCCTCTGGTGGGGTTCCCTGAGGATGGTGGCAAGACAAGATCCACTATCAGAGGAGCTGAGAGGGAGCTGATCCACTGTCAGGATAGAGGGGAAAATGGGCAGTGCTCTCCAACTCCCCTTCAACACCAAGCAGCCCTGGACCACTGAGGGAGGCTTTCACCTGCGGGCCTGGGGACTTTGCCACAGATGGGGTTCTCTCTCATGCCATCCTCCTGGACCTCGCCCTGCCCTAGAGGAGCACAATTCCTCCCCAGCCTGGCAAGCCCTGCATTCCATTAAACTCTGGGCAAGAATAACCGCCTTGCTCTTTACCTGACATTAGCACACGGATCAGGTCCTGGGCAGACCCCACTATCCCTGTGTGCCTGTAACTGACAAGGGCCACCAGCCTAAAAGCTGACATTCTTGCTCTATAGCCTCCCCTTGTCAGAGTCCATGCCAACTGGTGCCAGCCCAGAAGACTCAGCATTCCCAGTTTTAGGAGCTTCTCCACAGCACAGACCAGAAGCAGGTTCAGTTCCTTCCCCACGCTGGGCCTAGCACCAACACCTATGTTGTGGCTGCATCCTGCTGGAAGCCAGTGGGACTGACCTGACACCAATACTGCTGCTTCCTGTCCTTGTCCACCAGCTTGTCCTTACCCACCAGAACACACTTGAACTAGTGCACAGCTGAGCAGGCACAATCTGAGTCAGTGCACACGAGCTAGAACACCTGAACCAGCACACACTTGAATTAGTGCGCACCTAAGAGTGCACACCTGAGCTAGAACACTTGCGCCAGCACACACTTGAGCCAGTGCACACCTGAGCCAATACACACCTGAGCTAGAACACCTTAGCCAGCACACACCTGAGCCAGTGCACAGTGCCTACTAAGGGCATCCAGCATAGCTCAGCCTCTGGTGAGGCCAGGAGGGGGCTCACTGACCACGGCAGCCTCTCCATGTCCCACCATGTTCTCACCAGCTGCACAGGAGGAAACCCCTGACTCATAAATGAGGGTGCAGGCTTGGGTCAAGTTATCTAACACCCCCAAAGACCCCCTCTACTGGGGAGTAGTGTCCTCTCAAATTTCATGTCCACCAGACCTCTGAATGTGACCCTATCTGGAAATAGGGTCTTTGCCATTGTGGTCAAGTGAAGATGAGGTCACTGGGTAGCTCCCATGTACCCCAGTGACCAGTGTCCTCATGAGCGAGAAATCTGGACACACTCCACAGGTGGAGAACATGCAGCCATGGAGAGGAGACTGGAGTGATAGAGCCACAAGCCTAAGGATGCTTGGAGCTCCCTGAAGTTGGAAGAGACTAGCTGGAAGTCGCCATACCCTGGCCACACAACACACTCCCTGGAGCCCTAGATGGACTGAGGCCCTGCTGACACCCTGACCTTTGGATCCAGGCTCTCCAGAACTCAGAGAGCATAAACTTCTATTGTTTCAAACCCCCTAATTGATAGAGAAAGGTTACAGTAGCCACAGAAAAACTCATGGATATGGAACAACCAACCTGATCCCAGGCAGAGGCTTGCTGTGGACTCGGGCATTTGGGGGTAAGCTGGGGTCAAAGGGCACTGGGATTAATGGAAAGGGAGAGGGCAGATGCTGAGGAGTACTGTCAGCATCAGCTGGGCAGGGCATCTGGCTGGGGCCAACTCTGGAGTATGTCCAGGGACCTCCCTTGGCCACACACACCTGACTAGCTGGGAGACAGACACATCACTGGCTGGGTAGGCCTTGGTTTTTATTCTCTGGAACAGAAATAACCTACAAAACCTCAAAAAGGACCACAACTGGCAAAGCACATTCTTTAAAGACAAAATGGAAAAAAATCATAAGTATTTGGCTCCATAAATTTCTGTTATAACAACTCCAAATGGTGCTGAGGTTTTGCACAGAGCCTAGCTGACCCATGGCTGTGTCCTGCAGCTGCAGGTTCTCATCCAATACACCAGGCTAGTGCAACGATGTAAAGGGTTGTTTTTTTTGTTTTTTTTTTTTTTTGAGACAGAGCCTCAAGCTGTCCCCCTGGGTAGAGTGCCGAGGCGTTACAGTTCACAGCAACCTCCAACTCCTGGGCTCAAGCGAGTCTCCTGCCTCAGCCTCCCAAGTAGCTGGAACCACAGGCACCTGCCACAACGCCCGGCTATTTTTTGGTTGCAGCCGTCATTGTTGTTTTGGCGGGTCCGGGCTGGGGATTCGAACCTGCCGCCTTAGGTGTACGTGGTTGGCGCCTTAGCCGGTTGAGCTATAGGCACCGAGCCGATGTAAATGTTTTTAAAGAACAACATAAGTGCCACACCAAGACATTTGAAGACATAGGAATTTGCTTCCTATGGGTATTTTTTTTTTTTTACAAAAAACATAATAACTTAGTTTGCATTTTATAGCATTTCCAATTGGCCACGGCACTCTCCACTAGGATCCCACAGGGTCAAACACCACAGGCACCTCCCCAGATGGTGCAGCTGACAAATAAGGGCCAGGCCTGGGCCCCAGGGGTATGGTCCGGTGTAGCTCCCACCAGGATTTGTGCGGCCCCTGTAGCCAACAGCAGCTCATCAGGGGAGGAAAGGCATCCTGAGGCCCATGTGGTCACTCAGCACCAACCTCGCAGGGGTTCAGTCCCCTCTCCTCAGCGTCCCTGTACATCCTTTGGAAGTCCTGGAAGCGTGGGGCACAGCCAAGCCATGCCTCCTCAAAGCGCATGTGGCCAGTGAAGAGGAAGTCACCACGCCCTGGCCGCACACCACACTCTAGCAGCGTCCTGACATGCCCCTGCCAGTGGCCACCACCCTCAGGCACCAGCTGGAATATCCTGCTTTTCTGCCGGTACAGTCTGCTCACTCGCAAGTGGATGACCGTCTCCTGAAGCTCTGGCTCATGGGTGACGTCCTGGATGGAGCCTCGAACAACTGCAGAGAGGAGGAGATGGAACAGTCAGCAGGGTCCAGTGGGCACTGCCAGGTGCTGGCCAAAGGCAGGCATACAACATATATTGACCCCACATGCAGCAAGGCCACTGCAGGCCCCTGGCAACAACTAGCATTGGGACTGGGAGCTGAACCCTGAGACTCTGCCATCTAGGAATCCCACTGAAAAATACATTTTAGGCCAACACAGCAGATCACACCTGTAGTCCCAGCATTATGGGAGGCCAAGGCAGGAGGATCACTTGAGGCCAGGAGTTCAAAGCTGTAGGGAGCTGTGACCGCACCACTGCATACCAGCCTAGGTGACAGAACAAGACCTTGGCTCTAAAAAAGTACAATTTAAACAATAGGAAGTCATCCCAGATGAGAAGCTGCAGCAGCATAGCCCAGAGGAAGATGCTGTCTGATTGTTTGGGATAAAAGCAGCCACCCCCTCAGTGCTTAAAGCAGTACAATCATGTTTAAAATTAAGAAGATCTGTTGCATGGGTGTGGTCTATGTTGGAGGACCCACATGTAGTGTCATTGCTTACATGTGCCCTAAAATCAGGGTAATGGTTGTTGATGTCAGTGAGTCAAGAATCAATGCATGGAATTCTACACTTCCTATTTATGAGCCAGGACTAACAGGAGTGGTAGAATCTTGCTGAGGAAAAAATCTATTTTTTTTTTCTACCAATATTGATGATGCCATCAAGAAACCTGATGATGTATTTATTTCTGTGAATACACCAACAAAAACCTATGGAATGGGGAAAGGTCGTGCAGCAGGATCTAAAGTATACTAAAGCTTGTGCTAGACGTGTTGTACAAAATTGAAACTGGTACAAACTTGTGACAGAAAAGCATAGTTCCACAGTGCAGGCAGCAGAAAGTATCGTCGCATATTTGATGCTAACACAAAACCCAACTTGAATTTACAGGTGCTGTCCAACCCAGAATTCTTGGCAGAGAAGATAGCCATCAAAAACCTAAAGAACCCGTACAGAATACTGATTGGAGGGGATGAAACCCAGAAGGCCAGAGAGCCATGAGGGCCCTGTGTGTTGTATATGAGTACTGGGTTCTCAGAGAAAAGATTCTCACCACTGACACTTGGTCTTCAGAGCTTTCCAAACTGGCAGCAAATGCTTTTCTTGCCCAAAGAATCAGCAGCATTAACTCTGTAAGTGCCCTGTGTGAAGCAACAGGAGCCGATGTAGAAGAGGTAGCAACAGCCATTGGAATGGACCAGAGAATTGGAAGTAAGTTTCTGAAAGTCAGTGTTGGTTTTGGTGGGAGCTATTTCCAAAAAAGATGTTCTAAATGTGGTTTATTTCTGTGAGGTTCTGAATTTGCCTGAAGTAGCTCATTATTGGCAGCAGGTAATAGACAAGAATGACTACCAGAGTGGGAGGTTTGCTTCCTGAATCATAGACAGTCTGTTTAATGCAGTGACTGAGAAGAAGATAGCTATTTTGAGGTTTATATTCAAAAAGGACACTAGTGATAATGAGATAATCCTCTAATATATATATGTGTGTGTGTGTGTGTGTGTATATATATATACATATATTAGCAAGTATTTGATGGATGAAGGTGCACACCTCCATATATACAATCCAAAAGTACCCAGGGAACAAATAGCTATAGATCTTTCTCATCCAGGTGTTTCAGAGGATGACCAAGTGTCTTGACTTGTGACCATTTCCAAGGATCCATATGAAGCATGTGATGTTGCCCATGTTGTTATTTGCCCTGAGTGGGACATGTGTAAGGAAATGAATCATGAACGCATTCATAAAAAAATGCCAAAACCAGCCTTCATCTTTGATGTACAACGTGTCCTGGATGGGCTTCATGATGAACTACAAACTACTGGCTTCCACATTAAAACAGCTGGCAAAAAGGTGTCTTCAAAGAGAATCCATATGCTCCTTAAGATGAAATTCCAAAATTCAGCCTTCAGGATCCCCCTAACAAATCTCTAGAGTCTAGACATTGCCATTTTTGTTTGTGATTTTCTTTTTTTGGTACTTTAGGATAGCAAATATCTACTGATATTAACATTTGGTGAATGAACCAAGTGTTTTTAAGGAAATAAAATTATTTTTTGATTGAATTTATAATAGCTATATAGGTATTAGTATATCTGGTAATTATGAATCTAGAATACTTTTTACATATTTTCATATTGTTAGCTTGATTATTGGATGAGTAGAAAATAATCGTGTTGGTTTTAATGGTGTCAGTTTTTGTAAAATAAAAATTAAACTTCAAACAAACAAACAAAAAAAGGAAGTCATCCCAGACACTTAGACTTCATCTTAGTGTCATCCCAGACACTTAGACTTGCTCTTTGTATCAAGGCCCACATGCTCAGGTGGGAAAATAGAACAAAACAGCCATGATTTGCATCAGCTCTTCAAATTAGAACAAGAGAAACAAGCACAGCTAATATATGAGATCTTTTGCACCTCTACATTCTAACCAGACCAGGCACAAGGACCGCTTTGAGCACTTGGAGACCCTTGTCCTGTACCTGGAGCCTGAACAGCAGAGGAGGAAGGACACCTCCCCCCGCCCCCACCAGGTGGACCTCCACAGCCTCGACTCAGCGACTCAGCGAGCAGGAGTCCAAATCTTCCTCGAGACAAGCCAGAAGGCCTGCATCCCTCAACCTCAGCCTTGAGCCCACAGGGGCCCCAACCACCACGGGACTTGGATGAGGGATAGTGGAAGTTCCAAGTTGGGGGCTGACATGAGGATGCCCTGGGTGGCTGATAAAACGATGTTATAAAGCACTCCCCAGAGAAGAGTCCTGGAAAGCAACAGATTTCAAGAATTCCCTCAGAGGGCAATGGTCTTACCTGCAAACTGGGAGAGTGCTTGGTAGTTACCAAAAACACCTGCCTGCTCTCCCCATGGGCAAGTGTGTGTGCACCGACTCCTGGCTCCTGGGCTAGGGAGCCATTCTGGGTACAGAAGGAAAAGCACCTTTCCCATGACTAAGGCCAAGACCCATGCTTCTGCAGACCACCCCGGGGCTGGGTGCCTATGGAAGGCTGGGGTCCTGCAGGGGAGCTGCCGCCCAAACGAGCCTCCACATGGCAGGAGCTATGAGGCAGACACTCACCAAAGTCACTGGTGCAGACAGCTAGGAGGACCTCAGTGTCACTGCAAGGGCGGCACGGTGCTGGGAAGGAAAGAGACAGGGTCAGCTGGGACATAGCAGGTCCAGGGTTCATCACCTGCCACAGTCACACATTCTCATCAGACCCAACTAAAGACAGTCCTGGAGTGCCCACATTGCTCCCCTGCAGCCAAAATCACTTCCCAGCTAAGCTGGCAGAGCAGACGACAGAAAATGCAGCCTCGGCCATGTCCAGGCTGACCCCAGGGGATGCTCGGCCCCTTCTGAACTGGAAGTGCTTGAGTAGTGGTCATGACAGCCCTGTTCCCTGAGAATATGACCCTCCACCTCACCACATCCTGAGGCTTCAGAGACAGGGGCCTCCCATCATGCCAGCTCACCCACCAGTAAAGTGGTATCACCAGCATGCCCAACTCAATCACCTGAGGTCTCCATCACAGACTCAAAACCACCTGGCTGAACTGAAAACGTGTCCCCAACAACACCCTGACTACAGTCACCCTCACCCCATCCCTCATGCCCAGGGGCCAGGGCCACCCTCACCTTTCCAGATCAGATCACACTGGAGGAAGGTCACATCCTATGGGGATCTAGGTGCCCACCATAGACACTGTCCAAACCGGGCTAGGCTTCTCCAAAGAGCCCAGAAAATGCTGAGTCTCCTCACAAGAGCCACACGAGCCACGCCGGACTCGCACAGCCAGAATCTCCACCACTCGACAGCCCCACAGCAGAAGCCTCCGAAGGCTGTGTGCTAGGCTCAGCAGCGGGTTTGGAAAACACAGTCTCATTACCTGGTCTTACTGCAAGACCTCTACTTTGCTCAGTCTTCGCTTCTAGAAGACTTCTAGGTTTTGACCCCAATTCTTCTAACACAGCAGAAACTCTGAGGCATGAAATCTTAGTGAGGCAAGTTTCCCGCAGCCATCTCACCTTCTAAATGCTCTGGGATATCCTGGCCAGGACAGGACAGTTCTTGCCTTGGGGCTCCCCAGCCCATAAGATGCCAATGTCTGAGCCAGGCCAGGCCAAGCTGTCGCCTGCTTCGTGGCTGTACAGACCCCAGTCAGGTGCTGGCGGGGGAAAGGGCAGCACAAGCATCCAGCACCTTGGCCACTACAAATGGGCCAAGCATCTCCAGCTGAGTAGGAGCTCAGAAGGGCATTCCAGGGTCTGGGATATGCAAAAAGCCCTACAGGCCTGAATCTTATTCAGGTCAGTGGAGGCTGGACTAGGCCTTGGAGGGAGCTTACAGTAGCCTGGGGTACCACAGGGTCTCTGTGGGCCCCTTGAGCTCCACCGGTCTGGGGCGCTCACAACATAGTCCTGCCCCAGGGTGATGCCGGCACGCCCTGGCCAGGCAGGGAGTGTAGTCACCCTCAGCTCAGTACGCCTGACTCACTGGCCCGCCTACCAGCTGCTGCTGCGTTTGCTACTATTAAGCTGCCAGAAAGAAGCGGCAGAACAAGAATAGCCTGCAATGCCTCTAGATCTAGCCCAGCCTGTCCGGGAACCCCAGATGTAGAGCCTTCTGCTAGCCTGGAAGGGCTGCAGCCAGCCCTGAGACACCTTTCAACATGCCTAGACCCCTCATACCCCCACCCCAAGCTGGGTCCCAGGAGCCCCACCTCCTGCTGACACTGCACAAGCTCATGCTGCAGCCCCCACACAGGAGGCACCTGACCTGGGTCCCGAAGCTGCCCAGGGTGCCACCCCATGGCACTTGGCTTACTATGTAGCCAGCAGCACAGACAGGCCAGCAGCACTGAGGCATGAAGAGGGTGTCTCAAATTTCAGGTGGCATTTTTATTCAGAGCACATGAGACTCAGTGAGACTTTCCATCCTGACTGGCCACCTGTCTAGGGCCCACAGAGCCAGAAGTCCCAGCCCAGGGTCCCTTATGGAAGTGAGGGCAGCCTCAACAGTGAGAGGGCAGGTCAGAGGTTAAAGGGCACTGTAACCACAGCTGTGCAAGAGGCAGGAAGTGCAGGAGGTGGGAGGTGAGCCCCAAGCTAGGAAAAAGCAGCCATGCACTCGGGTCCCATCTTGAAGATGGGGAGCCAGGATGCCCCACCACACTCACGCCAGGCCTGAGCATGTGTGTGTCACCAAGCCCTTGAGTGTCCTCCTCAATGAGTCACCAGCCCTGGGACAAGCCCTGGGATCTTGGAGGATATGGAGGAGGGAGGGAGATGCTCCCCTTGCCAGCTCTGGCACCTGCCCTGGCTCAGACGCCACCTGTACAAGGTGTCAGAAGCCTGAGGTCCCTCTCTAAAAGCCTCCAGGAGCCCACGCCATTGACACTGAGCTCAAAAAGCACAGCTCTAGAGGCCTCCCTGTTCTAATTCTCAGCTTCACAAAGCACGGGTCACCTTCACAGAGAACTCAGTGCATGCCAAGGGCACAATCTGGAAACAATTATCAGTCAAAGTTGGGCTCATAAAGGCTGTGGAATGCACTGGTCACGACACATCACATCTCACTTCCGGGGGTATGAGGAGGGTCAGTAAAGGGTTGGAGTTCTGTCCCTCCTCTGCAGAGGGTGGGGGCAGAGCATGGATGTCCCGAATGATCACTCAGGAATATATGTAAAATGAATTGAATGAAGAACAAAGAAAACAGGGTCACAGGGGCAGCCAGGGCTGCTGTGGGAACCCTGCAGTGGCAGCAGGCACAGATGGAGGGCTGCACCATGAGTACAAGGAGGCTGAAGGCTAGAGGCTATAGAGTGGGCTGCAGACAGACGGATGCTAGTCCAGCAGCACTGCCCGAGAAAGACAACCAGAGTGGAGACACACAAGATCCACGGGGAAATCTCAAGTGACAATCACTGCTGATCTCCAAGGCAGCTGAGACAGCAGACATGGCACTCCCACGAGGAGCAGGTGAGTGGAGTAGACCTGCAGAGCCTGCCTGAGAGGCCAGGTTGGTCCTGGGGACTGCCCTCTTCCTGGAGAGGACACCCTTCCCCCCCTTCAATTCAGGAGATGGTGAAGATGTGAAGTGATTATAGGATAATTACAGTGGCCTGAGAAGCCACTAAGGTAGGTGGCTCACACCTGTGATCCAGCACTCTGGGAGGCCAAGGCAGGTGTACTGCTTGAGCTCAGGAGTTCGAGACCAGCTGGAGCAAGACCAAGGCCTCATCTCTACTAAAAACAGAAAAACTAGCTGGGTATTATGGCAAGCACCTGTAATCCCAGCTACTTGGGAGGCTGAGGCAAGAAGATCACTTGAGCCGCAGAGTCTAAGGTTGCTGTGAGCTATGATGCCATAGCATTCCACCTAGGATGACAGAATGATACTGTCTCAAAAAAAAAAAAAAAAAAGAGTAGAGGGATGCCTGTAAAGAACACCAACACCCTTTGTCCCTGCAAGGGTCCCCCAAACCCTGAGCTCCTGGAGGGGGCTCTGCAGCGGGGACTGAGGCCTCAGACACTGTAGGACCCAGGCATCCATTCAAGCTGGTAATGTAACTTGTGTGTGTTCATGACCAGCATCAGGGCAACATCCTCTGCTTATCCCTTCCATTCTCACTGCACATCTAAAATGCCACTGCACCTGCCCTAGACAACCAATTCACCATGGGCCTTGGCTGGAGCCCCAACCCCAAAGTCCAAGCACAGAGGCAGCCAAGCTGGTGAGCACCTGGTATGCAAACCTCAAGAAAAATCAAAGCAGAGAAAGGAACCCCAGACCTCATCTAGCCTGCCCAGGTGACCTAGGGAAGCAGGTTTGCCCCTGTTCTCTAGAACTGGCTGAGCTCCTGCTCCTTGGCTGCCCACATGGTACTGGTACTGCCCATCCCTTGAATATGCAAGAGTCAATTTTTATACTTGGCGAGAGGTGCAGGTCCAGGTTCACTGGCCCAGTGTCCCCAAAAGACTGGGGGTGGGGGAATCCACCAAGTCCTCAGTACATGTCTAGGTACAACCTCAAGCCAGACCCATGAGTTCTTGCACCTGTCCACTCGCTGACTTTGTGTCCTGCCAGAGCTCCCCAGATGAGAGGAAGGAAAGTGCAGGGCAAGCAGGTCCTACTAGTGGTGGCCAAATCCGGAGTCCCCCAGGGCCAGGTCACATCCCTCCTGACCCACAGGCTATGCCCCTGGAGAAGCAGCCTACCTGCTCTGGTCTCTTCCAGGCTGTCATAAGCCTCAGTCATTTATGGAAGCTAATTCTGCAACCCGAAGGACCCAGCACCAAGGAGCTGTTGGCAATAGGCCCAGGCCCCTGTCCGAGAAGCAGGCTGCCTCCAGATGGGTGGGGGCATGACCCTCAAACATAGCACCCACAGGGGATTCAAGGCTACAGAGCCTCTGTTCTCTCACATCAGTGCCAACTGTCAGTTCAGATTCATGCGGGAGCTCCTCCACTCCTGGCAGGTGCGACAACCACTCACCTGGTCCTGAAGTGTGTGTGTGCCCTGGGGTACAGTTCCCACCCCTCATCCTATAGCTGAAGCAAGGGCCAGAATGGAGACAAGGGAAACCCTTGGTGCTGAGAGGGCTCAAGAGCAGGCCTGGCCTGGGGACAAGCTGCCCTGCTAGACATCCAGCCCTGACATTCTACATTACGCACCCTGGGTGAAAGGTGCCTCATCCTGGGTGTAAGGTGAGAGGGACACATCAGACCCCAGTCCCTTCCCCACTCTTCCACTGCACCAGGATGGGGCAGGATGGCCTCTAAAAGGGTTCTGCAAGTTTCTGGGGCTGTGTCTGGGGCTACCACCCCCAGCACATCGTGTGTTGTGGTTAATTAGAGAACCCTCAGTGTCTGCTCCACACCACACAGCAAAGTCCTGGCCCCCAAGCTGGTCTGACATCCATGGGGTCCCCATGGTCCCAAGAGGTATGCAGAGGCCAGAGCACAAGACCCATGACCGAGCTTCGGTTCAAGTCACTACTCACCCAGGGATGCTGCCTCCCTACGGGACCCCACAGAAACCGTGTATGTCTCCTAAACCCACTCACTCCAGGCCTGGAAACCTGGACACAAATGTGCAGCAGGCACAGATCCTGACCCAGAGAAGAAGAAAAACAAAGCCTCGTTCCCGGGGGTAACACACAGCCCCCTGAGCTATCCCCATCAGCAGCCAACACAGCGATGTTCCACCAGACATCTATTGGGCACAGTGAGATGTGCAATTGTGACAGCAGCAACCAGGTGGCCAGCCCTACAGCTCTTTAAAGGTCCCTTGGCATAGGCAAACAAAGCTAGGCCCCAGCAGCACAGTGTCCTCAGGCCCAACCCACTTCAATCAGCAGAAGCAATGTCTGCAAGCTTTTTTTGGAACCTCCTGCCTCAGTGAGCAGCTTCAACAGTTGGAAAATCCATCTTGGTGCTCAAATTTTTCCAGATTTTGTGTTTGTTATGAGTTTATTTTCTCCAAGGCCCCCACAGAAGGCTGATGTCCCCTCCCCCAAGTCTGCCACCCACCGTAACTGCTAATAACAAGACAAAGGCCATGTGGCCAACATTCCTGTCCTGCCTGGACTCTAGCAGTCCCTGAGACTCAGAGACTGTGCTGGTCCTAGGGGCACCTTCCCAGGGCAGGCCTCTCCACCCAGGCCCTGCTGACACTAGGGTTGGGTTGGTCTTTGGGATGAGGTGTCCAGAGGGGTGTGGCACAGCCCTCAGCCTCCGCCCTGACGTCAGAGACTCTCCTCTGGCCTGACAACCAGTGGTGAGGCGGGTGGGTATCCCCAAAAGACAGGACTCTGAGCTACCTCATACCTCAAGTGAGGTGGCAGCCCTGCATGAGGACTGACCATGTGGGTCCCACAGCCCAAACACCTCTAGGTGTCTGCCCATGGAACTTTTGGAGACCACCAAAGCCCTCCACAAATGATCCCAGCCCCTCTCCCAAGTGCAAGTGTCCACAGATGCCATAAGACAGCCTACCACCTGCCTGCCACATGGGAAGCTGCTCATCTCAAAAGAAGAAGAAAAATGGCAGAACCTGGAGCCAAGCTCCTACTGTCCAACACCACACACACCCTGTGTGGCCAAAGGCGTGACCCAGCCCACACGGCCCCTTCCACTCCAGAACCTCTCAGCTCCCCAGATCCTCACAGCCTGTTCAAAGAGGACCCCTCACTGCTCCCAGCTATGCACCAGCATCAGCCCCCACCCAAATGCACTGTTGTTGTAGGGGCTAAGCCAACACAAGGAGCTCTTGGCCCATTCACCAACAGTTAAAACAGTAAAGCACCCATTTCTGGTGTGTCACTAGAACACATGCACAGGGCAAGTTTGGGGCCCACTCTCCCCCTCTAACCGCTCAGGGAATGCTTGCCTACACACTGGGAAGGGAGCACTGCTCCAGCAAGCAACCTTGCCCAGCACTTAAGGGACACCACAAGACGCAGCCAGTCTGGTCAATGGTGGTTTCTGTTGGAAGGGCCACAACATCAGAGGTGTTGTCTCCACACCCAGCACCCCTACATAGGGAGACATACGTAGGGCCCCACCATCCCTGGTTGGCCGCCCATAGACTCTCCAAGCAAACCTGCCATATCTAATGCACAGATGTAGAGCATTTTCTTGGAAGTCCAGCAGAAGTCGGGTCAGGAGAAAACCCGCAACACCTGTGCAGAAGAGTAAGCCCAAGCTGCCACAAGGTGCTCACCCGACGGTGTGTGCAGGGCTGGTCCCTGGTATTTCCTCGTCAGCTCGTACTGGAAGCCCGTGGTCCTTCTGCCAATGTCCTGCTGGGGTGTGGCCTCCACGAACAGGCCGCCCTGCTCCAGGCCGAAACACCGTACCTGGCCAGTGTCATCTCCATCCTGTACCAGCAGTTTCAGTTCTCCAGTTTTTTCCAAATAAATATTGGCCCCCGAGGAACCCCTGAAGGGTTTGATGCACACGGTGAGCTGCCGTGCAGGTGAGAAGGTGTTGGGTCGCAGGTTGATGATGAGAGCCCCAGTAGGGTACAGCCACTCCACTGTGCCCGCCGCGCAGCGTACATACACCTGCTCCACTTCCTTCCGGTGCGCCTCATGTGTCAGTCCACTGCAGGAGAAGAGACAGTCAGCCAGGCAGAGCTCCTGCACCCCACTACCACCCCTGCCCAGAAGGATTCCACAAGAGCTCTCAGCTGGCACAGCCCCACCCTCAAGGCAGTTCAGGCCACGTCCACCCTTCGGCGTGGGGCTGAGGACAGGGCCACAGCACTGACTGGTGCAAGAGCTCAGGTGCTCAGCATATGCAGTTCTGTCTGCCTCAGCCTCTGCCCACCACTCAGCATCATTCCTTGACCAGGGAGGTTGAACCTACTGTAGGTCAGAAGAGGTGAGAACAAAGGAAACAGCAGCAGCCGTGGGTCCCAGCCCAAGTTCCAGAATGGACTGCAATGAGCATCAGGACCGTAGGAACATGGCCACAGCATGGGAACAATAAGCAATGCTGCCACTCTGGACAGGCAACAATTTTGGGGTTGTCATTGAGTTCTGTCTCCCAGGACCTCACCATTGCGACAAATGTTTGCATTGTCCTCCGAGTAATGAGCAACTGTTTTCATTCATCTCCAAGCCTGAAGACACCCCCCCACCCCCCGCGACTAGTTTTTAGAGTAAATCCAAATATCATTAAAGGAAGATCCACTACGAAGTGAGGTGAGCCTCTTCCACTCACTTCACTTTGGGGGGAGAAGGGCAAACACGTAAGTAACAAGTTAATGTTACTTGTAGTAAGTGCTAAATAGGAAGGAATGAAGTGTGCTACATTCTTGGTGAGGCAGTTTCTGAGTAGAGACAGTTATGTTTTCAAAAAATTGAAACCATCAAAAACATTAAAGTTTCTCCTACTTGAAACTATAATGTAAAGGTTAGCATGTCACGAGCAGATGTCATGGCCACCAAGTGGGTCTGCAATGAAACCAGTGACTTTGACAAAGCAAGTGTTTTATTACATGAAATTTGGTTCTGATCAGATCTCAGGCAGGTTCACCCACATTCTTAGGATTTTTATGTGAAATAAACAATACTATATCCAGAGCCAGCCTGAGTGAATTACCAGAAACCCTTTCTACAGTGGAGAAAATGCATAACATATGGTTTGCATTTACTGCTGGGTGACTCACGCTCAAGCCCCTAAACCTCACTTTTCACACTGCAGCTGCAGGCAAGGGCTACAGCCACCCTGTGGACCACATCAGAGGGAAGTGTCAAGGGTGAACCCCTCCTGCCCAGCCTCCACCCCCACAGCCTCCGGGTCAGAATAGCTAGCCCAGCCCCAGCCAGCTACCAGGGTCACACACACAGAATAGACTTATAAATTAAGCCAATAAAACCCACACAACTCATCTGACACATATGTGGGGGTAGTCATGATTACAGTGCTGTGTGAAAATTAGACTAAATGGTAAGTGGCTGACACATAGAGGACTACAATCAGCTCTTTTCTTATGCAGCCCAAACAAAACATCATCATGTCCCTCACCCTCCTGTCTCCATCAGGAGATAGCTGGACACTTGCCGCCTCTTAAGCAGGGACCAATTCTCAGCTCTTTCTTCCATATAAACCATCCTGCCAGAGACTTCACTTCTCCCCATAGGTTCTGAGCACCCAGGGAGTGCAGAAACCACAGCAGAGTCCCTGGACACCTCTGACTACACTGCTTCATCCAAGCAGAGGAGGGGAAAGAGGCTCCAACCACACTGAGGCAGCCACAGAGGGAACTTCCTTGGGGAAAAGTGGCCAACCCACAACTGCCAGGGGATGCAGGCCTGCGCCCAGGGCCACCCTCTGATCCCCCACATAACTGCATCTTGTAGGTGCACCTGGCTCCACTTAATTAAAATCACTCCACAAAGAAGACAGGAACAAAATGAAGATGGACACAAAAGCTACAAGGAGCCCTGCCACCTGGCTCCTTACCTGATGTCTTCACTGCCCACTTAGAAGGTCTATACCCATCCCAGGGCCTGCTCCTCTCCTCTTACATCCCCCTAAAATAGCAATCTAGGCTCAAGACATGGAAGTTCCACGTTAAAATCAGTAGCATGTGGTGTATGAGACCCCCACTCAGAGACAACCCTTCAGGAAAGTGAAACCACGGGGCCACACCCCAAATTGCTCACCTCCAAACATCTACCACCACAGAAAACCTGGGAAAAAATGCCCATTTATGCAAAATTGCTGGAATTACAAAAATGCAACACATCTTTAACCATCATGGATGATGGTATTTTATGATTTTCACATAAGATGCAGGTGACATACTAAGCAGGAACAAAATAACAGAATTCTGCTGTTGTGATAAACTCAAAGATATAGACAAAACTGGTTCTATTCAACTTTAAGAAACTGAAGAGACATATTTGATCTTAGATTAATTAAAGTAAATTAATTCATTTTTTGAAAAGTCCGTAAGAGTTACCACCCAGGTGAACACACCTGTAGGGCACCTTTATGGAAAAGTGGGAGAGAGCTCTATATAGCAAGCCCCCAGGGTTCTGAGCGGAACCAACCCACCTACCACCACTGAGTCACCAGAACAAAAGAGTGGCCTCTTGTTCACTGGAGTCAGGAAGGTTATAAATCAAAGAGCAGAACCCAAAGGCCCTGCTGACAAGTAACCTTTTGCAGGAGAGATGGCACCTGTGACACATGTTGATAGCAATGGAAAAGTTCACGGTCCACCTTTATGGCCACTGGCTAATGAAGACTGAGGCGCTGGTCCTGCCTTTTCCACAGCAAGAGAGATTGCAAAATCTTCTACTTGATTGGAAACACCTAGAAATATGAGCCTGTCAACTGTGAGTGGCCATGTCATAAGAAGCAACTCCCTTGCTATCAGGGGATCAGAACCCACAGTATCGGACTGGCTCCACCCTGTGCAGACTTCAGAACAGCTCATAAAAAAGTCATAAACACAGGGAGTTGTCCAGCGCAGCAGAGGACTACAGGATTTCACAGTGTCTGCAGCTCATCTGCGGAGCATGGCCGTGAGTGAGCCTAGCAAGGATGACAAGCAGAGTCCTACTACCTCCAGAAAGGTCGTCTGGAGGTCGCTCCTCTGCGACCACACCCGCAGATCAGGCTGTGCCCTCTGCGAGGCTCTGCCCTGGGGAGAGGGGCCAACAAATGCCCCTGCTCTCGCAAAAACGGACGGCCGGGCTCCTCCCCCACTACAAACACCTGTTGGGTCGAGCCGGTCTCCCCACCCTCACTCCAGTCCGAGGGAGGCTCCCTTCCTCCTCTGGGCTGCCGGGAAGACGCCCCCTCCCTCCGGGAGATGTCAGCTCCCGCTTGAGAAACGCCGGCTCACTGCGTTTCTGGCTTGGATCTGCTGAAGAATATCTAAAGGCCTCGGTTTCGGGGTGCACTGATTCAGTGGGCCAAGGATGCAAGCCGGAAGCTTAACTGCATCTGGGGGCGGAGGACAGCTCCAGAGGAACTGTCAGCGTTAGAGGCTCCCAGCCAGCCCGCGCCGGCGCCAGCATTCTCTAGGCCGACTCTCCCGGCTCCACGCCCCAGGTCCATCCCTGCTCCGTCCCCGCCGCCGGCAGGGGGAGTTTCAGCTGGTGAGGGGGCAGAAGGCTCCCTTAGGGCCAGGGCCCCACAGTTTGCCGCTCTCGCGAACCTTCGCTTGGGGGAGGGGGCAGAAACTAGATTCCTCAGAGAACTGGGCGCTGTAAGTGACCTACAGGAAGACCCGCGGCACCAGCTAACAAGGACCCCAACCCGCTGCGCCACCCTGCCTTCTCGGAAAACCAGTTTCACTCAGAGTAACCCCGTGACACACACACACACACACCCCAATGAACTGCCTGTCAGCTAGAGTCTTCCCATCAGTCCAGGGCGCGAGGGGCTTAGGGAGCCCCGGGGCACCAGACAACAGGCGCAAAGGGAGCCCAGGCCTACAGCGTCTTCGACGAGTCGCTCACTAGCCTGGGTCCCAGCGCACCAACTCCTGACCAGGCCCCTTTCAACGCACAGACACTGCTTGCCCAGTGCGGGCTTCGGCCGCGGCCTCCCTGCGGGCTTAGAGTCTCATGTGAGCATCGGCGTCCTCTGGGCCTCCCCCACCACTCACTTGGGACCCGTGCTCCTTTCCGCAGTCACATTTCAATTTTAAAAAGTCTTCAGCTGCCACCGCGGAGTGAAGGGGGGTAGCCAAACCCAGGGCGTGCGGCTGCCAAGGGCGGCCTGACCTTCACCGAACCGGGGCAGGAGACTGGCCTGGCCCCACGCACAGGTGTCCGCCCGCAGCTCGCCTCCCGCACAGATGCGGACAGCGCTGCGGTCAGCATGAGGACCCAGCTCTGTCCACTGAAGCCGCCGCTCCCTCCCGTGGCCGCAGCCGTCCCTTCCCGCTCTGTCCCGGACGCAAGCTCGGCTCCTCCCGACCCGGGACGGCCGCGGGATGCGCAACTGCCCGCTGGCAGGAGCCTGAAAGAGCCTGAGGACCGACCCTCTCCCGTTCGCAGAAAGGAACCGCGGGACTCGGGACCAAGTGGGGACTGGAGCAGTAAGCATGGGCCTCATGGGCGGTCGGGCCGGGACCGACCCAGCCAGGCTGCAGGCACGCGCCCTCCCCCCGAGCGTCCTCTGGGCCGGGGGGCCGGGACCCCGCGGGGTCTTTTGTTCTAGAAGCGGGGGCGGCGGGCAGTGGGCACAGGACTTAGCCTGGAGAGCCGGCCCCGGGCTGCGCCCCCGCACGCTTTGCCCGCCCTGAAGGAGAGCGCAGAGTAGCAGAAGAGGGGAGAAGACCAAGGCCCGGAGTCAGGGCCGGGTCGTCCCGCGCGGACTCACCTCCCCTTCCAGCTGCACAGGTCGCTGGAGTACTGCGCGTCCGCGCCTCCCAGCAGCGCGGCAAGCAGCAGCAGCAGCAACGGCGGCGGCGGCGGTGGCGGCAGCCGCGGAGGGCCCGGACCCGGGGCCGGAGGCCGCGGCCACAGCTGCCCCGCGCGCCCCCAGGCAGCCCACGCCGCACCCCGCATACTCCCGCTCCGCTTGGCGCCCCGGCCCCGCGTCCGAGCCCACTAAGCAGACCCCTTAACCAGGCACGGCCAGGCCTGGAGACCTCCAAGGCCGGGCGGGTCACGTCGCACGCCCCCCGTGTCCCCCTCGCGGCCGCCCGCCCATCCCGGGCCGCCCACGCTGCTGGAGCCGAATGCAGAGGCCCGCCCTCGCAGCCGCCGCAGCCTGAGCCTCTGGAGTCCGCGAGTCCGCGGTCCTGGGTCCTGGCTCATCTGGGGGCGGGTTCCGCCCCGTCCCGCCCCACCCCGCCCCCCGGAACCGGGCCCGGCCCCCGCCTGCCTCACTGAGCTGGCCCGCCTCCGCCCCGCCCCCCGGAACTCGGCCCGCCCTAACCCAGGCCCACCCCAACACTGTCCCGGGGAACTCGGCCCAGTACCCCGCGGTGAGCTCCGCGCTCACCGCGCCCGACTCGGCGCTGCACTCCCGAGTTGACAGAGAGTCGGCAACCCTGGGTGCCGGGATGTGTAACCTGAGATGGGCGGGAGACCGGCCGAGACCTTGTGGAGAGGAGGAGGTGGTGCAACTGATGAGGAGAAGGTCGTGGAGAGAAGAGCCCAGGTTGGAAAGCAGAGTCCGGGGCAGGAGGGGGCCGGGCGGACAGGGCAGCAGCGCGTTCCCTGGCCTGTACAGCCCGAGACCCCAAGTATGTACCTACCCCAGCCGAACGCCTGACCAGTCGTTCTGTCCCTCCATAAGCCCCCACGGCGGCGGTGCAAGTGGCCCACCTTGCAGACCGTCCTGAAAGGCTGCATGAGCTCAGCCTGGTCTTCGGGCTGTGGCGGGGGTGCCTGATCGGCCGATGGCTATCAAAGGTGTTGTAACCCTCTACAGAATTTGTGGTTCCCGGAGGACCGCAGCCCCGGGGACCTGGGAGGCCCGGCTGAGGGCCTGACCCCTGGTGAACGCACCGCCTCTGTTCGCCCCCCCTCCCCCCAGTCTTGCCTCTCGGCTGTGCCCTGCACACACACAGCCGCCCCTCCATCTGCTCCCAGGGGTCTTGGCTCCGCCTTTGCACTCTCCTCCCCCATGCGCACTCCCACGCTCCTTGAACTCCCGCACCATCCACAACTGCACCCTTAACTTGGCGGCTTAATACTCTTCAAGGTGTCCACTGTGCTGTGCCACTGTGGGATTTTACCAGGGTTCTGGCCCCTTACTCCAAATGCCAATAGCAACCTCGTCCTGAGTTTGCTCCTGGAGGGCACAGTTGTTTGCAGAGAACCCTGTGCTGGAGGGTGCAGGCGACCAAATGTGCTCTTCAGCATCTCCTCTTTGCCAGGTGGCCACTGGGGCCACCATGGCCTGACGTCCACTGGTGCAGTTCCAACTGGTAACAGCGTTAGAGATTCATGCTAGAGAACCCCCTGGGAAAACCAAGAGGGCCTACCGGCCTGTCACACCAGCAGCTACCCCTGCTGTCACAAAAGCATGCCTCTGTGTCCTGGTGTCTGGACCCCAGGGCTGCAAACAGCATCTAATGCTGGAGAAATCTGGCCTCCTTTTAGCGTTTCTTTGCCAGCCACGACATATTTCATGAGGAATTTCAAGTGATCTGAGTGGGGAGTGGGAGCCTGTTGTTAGGCATGTTATGCCCTGTGCATGGCAGAGGTTTGCAGGTTGTGGCAGTGCAGGGGGAGCTGGGGAGGAGGATGGAATGATGAGTTTGCTGGAGTGCAGGAACAGGTCAAGGCCTGAAGGGCTGGGAGACAGTGACTGCTGGAGGTGGCCACAGGGTGAGGATCTTTATAGAATGTCCCTGGGGCTGGTCAGGCCAATCTAACCAATAAAAACCCAGAGCAAGGACTCTGCCCAGCACATAAAGTGATGTCACCCTGGGACTCGATGTCTGGTTTGGCTTGAGGAATACACCTGCAGATTTTGGAGCTTGGAGGCTTGCTTTACACCCCCACTCCACATCATGGTTGTGCACACACACACACCCCATTGCTACAGGCACCAGGGTACAGAAGTGCTGAGAGATGGGCAAAGTGAAGCCACCACCAGGCCATGTGGAAGGGGTCCTGCTTGCACATGTGGACACTGAAGTGCTTTTTTGTGCTGGCCACACATTAGATCGAAGTCCTGCTGGGCCCCATCCACCCTGGAAGGGTACAGATCATCACACCATAGAAGGGGTAGGGGCAGTGCATGAGGACCCCCTCAAGTTACAAGTTCAGACATTGTGAGCTAATGACCTCTAGTGACCACTCAGGGTCTCAGGACCCCCTGGTGGCTGCTGAGCCAAAAGGGAAAAGGTCATCCCCTCAGAGTGACAGAGCTGTCTCCATCCTGGGCACAGGGCAGGGCTCTGCCTCCTGCCAGGCTGCCCTAAAACCGGGGTCATACATGGCAGTGCAGGGGCCTGCACTTCTCACATGTGGAGCAGACTGAGGTGGGCTGACTTCAGATAGAAGCTGCTTCCATGATGCTTATGGACACAGACAGACACAGATCACAGGGAAACTGTGTGGAATAGTGGTAAAAATAGAGTAAAAATGTTTGCTAGGCAGTGTTCTTAGAAAAGACCTGGGCTGTCCCTCCTCTCAAGACACAGGTGCCTCTTTGAGGGTCCCTAAATTGGGAATTTCCAGATTCCTGTCTTCCTGACCAGCTCACTGCTGGGGGTCAGGTAGGCAGCAGACCTGGTTCCCCAGCTGCTCCCCAAGTCTACTCCAATAGGCTTCCAAGCAGGGTCATGTTCCAGAGTTACTTGTGGCCTCCTGGGCACCTCTGCTCCCCCAACCCTGGCCAAGAAAAGCCATCTGCAAATGGACCTCCCTCCTGCAGAGTGCAAGATAAGGTGAGCCAGGGCTGTCTGAGGGTATCCAACAGCCACCCACCACCCTCTTTCACCTGCAGGCCCTGAGGGTGACCTGTGAGCCAGAAGGGTCCTCCCAGGGCTCTTTGGGAGGTTATCAGAGGAAAGAGCTTTGGGCAGGTTCTCCCCTGGGTGGCTAGAAAGAGGCTGCTTCAGGGCAGTGCCTCTGGCTCAGTGGGTACAGCGCCGGCCCCATATACCGAGGGTGGTGGGTTTGAACCTAGCCCTGGCCAGTTAAAAACAGCAGTGACAACTGCAATAAAAAAGAAAGAAAGAAAGGGTCTGCTTCCCAGTGAGCATTTCCCAAGGTTAAACTGTGGAAGCAGCCTAGCATCACCCCCTATCCCCATCCCCCCTAGGGGAAAAGAAGTGGTCACCACAGTCTATGTGTGAGGTCCAGATGGAAAACCAAGCCTGAGCTATGGGACCTGAGAGGGAATCGTGCCTGCCCATTGCCTACCCTGGGAGAGAGCAGCACTTCCCTCACCATGGCATGGACGCTTGACTGTGCCTGTGACATATTTCAGTGTACAGCCCCTGGGTGGTCTTTCTGTGCCCTTCCAGGAGCTGAGGATGGGGAAGGCAGGTGGTGTCCTCTCATACCTGGAGATTACAACCTACTATTAGGGGCAGGTGACCTCTGCAGGACCTCTGTTGGATTCCTCTATGAATCCAACCCCAGAGTTCTCATAGCATAAACTGCAGCACCTGTTACCTGGGGAGGGAGACATTGGTAGGGCAGAGGCAGGGACCTGTGTCACTGGATACCCTTCCTAGACTTTCTGAATACCAGAGGGCCTGCAAGCCAGTGGGTTGGTAAATGGACATGACTCAGACACCAGCCAGCCCCCTGCCAGTTCCCAAGTTTCCTTGCTGTGATGTTGGGGTCATTCTGGAGCCTTAGTTGCCTGCAGAGTGAGTCATTTCCTCACTCTGGGGAAGGCATGTGATGTCAGTATGAAATGTCTCACCCCCAGGTGGAAGCTGATAGGCTGGGATCTTTGCAGAGACTCCAATTTGGGCGTGTGTTCTTTTTTTTTTTTTTTTTTTTTTTTTTGACGGAGTCTTACTTTATCGCCCTCGGTAGAGTGCTGTGGCATCACAGCTCACAGTAACCTCCAACTCTTAGAGTTAAACAATTCTCTTGCCTCAGCCTCCTGAGTACCTGGGACTACAGGCACCCGCCACAACACCTGACTATTTTTTGTTGCAATTCTCATTGCTGTTTTAGCTGACGGGGGCTGGGTTCGAACCCACCACCCTCAGTATATGAGGCCAGCACCCTACCCACTGAGCCACAGGCACTGCCTTGGGCATGTATTCCTTAATCGAGGGCACCACCTGTTCTTGTCAGGGATTGGGGCCCTAATGGGCACAGGGAGCCACCCTCATCATGCTCCCCCCTACTGTGAGTTCTTTGAGCAACTAACAAAGACCAACAGACTGTTAACACTTTTATTTTTTTGCCCTAACTTAAGGATTTCAAATGTGCATTGATGGCAATTTAACTATATGAAATGGCCAGTCACCTGAATCCACTCATCGAAGAATCAACTTCCACCCCTAGAAACTGAGCACTTGGAGAAAAATGTTAAAAATTCCCCAAATGTGTCTAGGAAATTTTCTCTGAGCGTTTGGAAAATACTTGAGAACATTAGCCAGTCATAGTTGCTCACGTGAGAACAACCAGTCTCACCTGCCCCACTTGGCCACCCAAATCATTTGTCACCCCAACCCCCTCTGAGGTCATTTTCACTGACCTTCTAATAGGGACATAATTATCATAATTGTGGTCAAATGATGTATCGAGAACCAACGCTTATAATTTAATATTTAGTAACTTCAATGAGCAACATGTAATTACAACATGAAACAACCGGTGGAGTGCTAGCCCACCCCAACCCAACACTTCAGCTTCAGCATATAATCCTACCCTAAACCCCTCCTTAACCTAATTTGCACCATGTTATGCTATCTGCATCACAGGAAGGTGGGAGGGGTCATGTCCCAGCCAGCTCAGTCGGTAGGTAAGGGACTGTCTTGAGCTGGACACTAAGCCAGACCCACTGGGTTTGTGACCTGAGTATTGCTGCCCACAGGTTGGCCAGGGGAGGGGGCACCACCAGCGGCTCAGCTGTGAGAAGAGCTGTCTGGCATTGTGGCTCCAGCATTGTCGCTGGCATCATTTGGGGTAGCATCCTACTCTCTGGTTTACCATGAACAGACTGTGGCCTCAGTGGCAGTGAGTAGTAGGGACTCCCTAGCCTGGGTGCTCAGATACCCTCTGCAGCACCCCACAGGGAAGGGGGATGTCCCAAACTC